GAATTTTCGCCCCATAAAAATGTCATATGAACGCAGGAACCACCAAGACTTAAGGTCATTGGAGTGTATTGTTAACGGAAACAGGAAGTACATCCCTAGTTGAATAACCAATGTAGGGAGACAGCATCACAATTTCCGCAAATTCTAATGTTTAATATTAAATTGATGAATATTGTATGTTTATTATTGACAGAACAGTGTGTTCTCTCAATATTAAAGTAGTTCAAAGCAATCCAGGCATTAATTCAGGTGTTTTTTTATCAATGAGTCACATGTGTCCATTTTTCTGTACTTCAGGAAACCGGCTACCTATTTCACTACTGTGAAGTTTTTCAAGAACGATAACTCTTACCTGCAATTTCTATGTGTATATGGTTTTATTATAAAATGTCAATTTTTATATCGTGTATAGAGAATTAATTTTACACAATTTCAGCATTTATTAAATTGATATACATTAATGCAATACTGATATATGTCAGTATCATTTTTATTAACATTACTTTGTAAAAATATTGTCTTTCATTTTTTTTTCAAAATTCACTCCTTTTTACATAAATTTCCATTTAAAATCCATAAAATTCTGACAACCTATATTTTTTTGTGGCAGAAAATTTTCTTTATTTTAAAGCAATATAACTACAAAATTTGAAGAAATTCTACTGAGAAATGGTGACACAATCCTATTACCTTAACTGAATTTACCAGAGACGTAATATATATACGTCTCTGATTGTACCAAACTCTGGATGAATCAAGGAATGAGTCTAATCTTCACTCATTACAGATAGACCTCCAAAGAGAATGCACCCTTTACGTAATTTTTTTTAAACAGGTCTCAGTGGCGGACCCAGGGGTGTTGTCCTCCCAGGCAACACCCTTTTTTCTGTGTCTGGGGAGAACTATACCATCTGTTGGAATTAGGTATGTAGGTTTTTCACCGGTGGTTTCCATGTACACAAGGTCACCTGTGATTGATTATACCAATTAAAAGATACAAATTTCAAATATTTCAAAGACAATGAAGCACCTTTATTAGCATCACTTCATCAGGTGATTAATAACCAATGTTAGAATAAAAGCCTGGTGTGTACATCCTTTGCATTAGGCCCTTGTACATATGTACGCATACTATTTCACAATGAAAGACAAACAGTTAAATCATAATTCATATTGATGCTCGCTTAAACTACATGTACATTGTAAGCGGAATCTACAGACCCCCACCTTAACTTTGACAAGTGGCGTGACCATTTTAAGGGCCAGACACAAACATCAATATCTTAACCAACATTCTACATGTTCATCATAAAATATAAATACTCTACGTTATAAAATATAACCTGGAATAATACTGCAAACTCAGAAAACTATTCTACGCCTTGCCTCACTCGATCTGTTTGTTCAATGGAAATAATGTCCGATTAACTCTTGCTTTCTACGATCGGCAGTGCTTGAAAAAGTTTAGGATTACATCTCCAGAAGAAAAGAATTTGCATCGCTCCGCTTGGCGTTGCAAGTATATACAAACTCAACAATAAAGAAGTTCTATATATTTTTTGGTGGCAAGTTCTAATTTATTTTTTTAGATAAGTGCAAAAATATTTCTTTTTCTGAGTTTAAACTTTTGGGCAACACCCAAACTTAATTCCCGGGTCTCTACGTATATATCCCCCGTGCAATCATCTTGTCGAGATTATTCTATCATTCAAGTTTTTGACCCGAAACTCAGAGAGTAACAGTTATTTCCCTATGACTAAATGCATCAAGACTGCATAAGTATTTTGCTATAATAACTTTCACAAAGACGGCCGATCTGGCGTGTAAACGCGTCGAGTCATCATTTACGCGACCACGTTGGTATTCTCCGGGTCCTCCAGTTTCCTCCTACATTAAGATCCAAATGTGGGCGCGCTTAAACCGGAGCCAACAAGAATAATCATATACAAGTTCATTATTGTCAATCACAAAATAACTAGTTAATATCTAAATCACCAAATAAAAATATATGATATTATCATATGTGGTGAACGATATTATGAAGCATATCTAATCTTATCAAGAATGTATTTCTCCATTGCATACACTTAAAGCATTATGTTAACAAAATAAGCACGATTGATATAGCGTATGGACAAAGTGTGGGGTAACCTGCTGGATCGAGAGATTTCGAATCATCAATGATATCTTTACTTACCGTTAATTATTACAGGCACACTTTTTAGTATTGCTTATTTGGTACAATTAAATCGTTTCCTGAAAATTACTTTACCATTTCAAGGGCTTCTGATCGATACTACAGTCCGGGACCAAAAGCTGATAACCGTCCATTTTTCGTTCATTATATGTATATCTATATGTAATTCATGCGTTTCTACATTTTGTTTGCATTTTCCTGAAGTCGCCTTGGGTGGCATTAACCGAAATTTGTCGTCATGATAGATAAATCTGAATTTCTATTTACCTTATTTTTCCGTAGCTTTTCAATATGATGTTATCATAAAAATGTTTCGTTGTTTTCTTCTTTACCTTACCAACTTATTCCACAACAATTATATTTCAGAGATAAAATGGTGATATATCTTAATATTTGAAATAGAAATTCAGGAAATTCTCTTTCAGTACATTAAATTTTGTTATGCTAGCATTACTACCGATTTCAGAACTATTCAATGAAAATATGTGTAAATACATCATCATATATATAGTGAAAATATCTTCAGGGATATACGCGGGTCATGTTGAATCCAAAAGCATTTCTCTCGCAATCGTTAAGTACTACTTTAGTGAAATGTAAGGTCGATTTTTTAATGTGAATTTTATGTAGTACTGTGGGAACTTTTGTGCAAATGTGAAAGACTTAACTTCAGACCTAGTGATTGAAGCGACGCTAACGCTTTACTTAATTCCAGGGAACATCAGAGCCAGAGAGAACAGGTACTTCAGTAATATGGTTCCGTTTCAGTGTACGTAGACATCCTCAAATTCAAGGATTCCTCCCTCGATACACATATCTTCTCTAAAGTATATACAAACTTTATCATTTTTTCTACAATTATGAAACAAGAAATATAAACTTATATCAGATTGATTATTATTAAAACTCAAAATCCAACTTGCGACAAAACTATCCAAAAGAATTTCGATGTATTGATTTTAGAAATTCTTATTCTTGACTCCCATTTATGAATTAAAATGATTTTCCGTTATCATCGATTGTTTGTCATTTCATTTTTTTTATATCTTTCAAGAAATAGAAAAAAAATGTCAACTTAATTGTTTTGATTTTTACACACCTTTAATAAGAATACTCACGCATTTTGTGTTAGTGTTGTATTTTGTTGTTGTAAATACCACAAAATGGTAATTAAGACCTATTAACTTGTTCGTTTTATCAATTCAGGGACCTTTATGTGTTCTCTGGCCAACTAGATCAGAATGGTTTGCGCGAAGTTATCTCCCATATTTGCGGTATCGTAGGTGGCGCTCGTTACGTATCGATCAGCTGCAGCAGATGACGAAAGTGGAAGAGTACCGGTGTTTCGGGTGATGTCAGACAAACAGATAATCTCTGAGCATGGCAGGCAAAAGTTCTCTCGACAACGTTACACAGAGGTGAGCTACATTTTTCACTTGCATGGTAATGAAGATCCATTAACTGACAAGCTTAACATAAGCAGTTTGCAAGTCGGATGAGACTCTCTGCTTAGTTACGAGTATGTGTGCATGATTAACAATATTATAGCCAACAGTAGTGTAATGTTAACGTTATAGGTATTTATATGATTTGTTGAGATTTGTTGAGATAGAAGCCTAACCGTGTCAGGAGGTTCAGGGGTTTTCCTGACTAATACTTACAAATATAATAAGTGTCACGAAGTGATTTTTCAAAAGTAGCTGCCGTTGAAAAGATATAGACCTGGTTAGTTCCAGGTTCGAATCCCAGTCTGGCTGTGTTTTTTTCCATTACCTCACCTATCTTCACTTAATCAACTACATACTACATAGCTAGCCCAGTTGGTCAGAATATGACTGGTATTCAACCCAGTCAAGATCTGAAGCATCTGATCATCGATTATGGACAGATTGGTCCAGGGATTTAGCCAAATGCTATCATTTTTTTTTAAATGAAGATAATTTAAAGTTTTGAACAACTTCGAGCATTACATTTTCGGAAATCTCCATTTACTGCGTGCCCAACATGAACAACAGGATTGTTGAAAAATAAAGAAACAAAGTTTGTCAAATATCGAAACAATGCTCTTGTATTTTCTGTGCAATGATTAAGTATCAATTCATAGCCAACAAAATGTATAGCATTTATACAAGATGTGTCTTTACGGGTCATCCGAGGTAAAGGGCTCCGCTTATTTCAAGAGGAGGCGCCCTGTACCGTTCCCTTACTGTTGCTAAGTTAACCCAAGCGATCTCTGATGCCAACAATATGATGGGAGCTTGTAACCCGAGTCAAAGACGTTACCCCACAGTGGCAGCCATTTTTAGAGGTAGAGTAACGATGGCAGAAGTTGACCAAGAAATGCTTAATCAGAAAAATAAAAATTCAATCCACTTTGTTGAATGGTTGCCATGCAATATACAGACAGCTGTTTGTGATATCCCGCCGCGAAATCTCAAAATGTCGGCCACCTTTATAGGGAATAATACTTCGATTCAAGACATTTTCCTATCGTTCTATGTTCCAGTCGGGGCATAGGTAATCTTTATGTCCACTTATTCATAGTTTTTGCAAAACCTTTTTCGATTTGCTAATATACAATTTTCAAGAAACGAAAACACACTGGTTCTACTTTATAAGAAAAACATACTAGAATAATTTTATCTAAAATATTTAAAATACAAAGATCTTGAAACTCTCACCTGATGTTCTCTTTTGAATTTCATCAACTTTATAATGTAAAATATACGTTTGCATTGTGTACGCTTTCTGAGTTTGTTTATCATGTGGAAATCAGCGATGTCTATTGACTATTATTGTATTCTCTAACTTCTTATCTCGTGACGTCATCATTGGCACATGCGTCATTATTGAGATTATTGATCGTCCAATCAGGAATCATTCTTCTCGACAAAGTATCCAGCGTTTCTCTGCAATCAAAAGAATTAATCATGTTTTCTTGTTTGATTTACCAATTAAATATTTCAATAATACCAATAACTAAGGTTTTTATTAGTGGATTGAAAGTAGTTTACATTTTGTGATCGATTTGATTAATAACAAGTGTTTGCAAAACTGCTTCAACAAAACAACAAACACAAAAGTAACAACTTCTGTTATAATTAGCACAAGTAGTATTAATTGTAAGAGATTCAAATAATAATAATAATAAATAATTCGAGGTTCTTATAAACCGCTTTATCACAACCTAGTTTATAGGTCGTTTCAAAGCAGTTCACAAATTATTATCCGTGGTTATAGGGTCTTTGTAACCAGCCAATACCTTTCTCAACTCCTTGGGGAGAATACAGCCGGAGCTGCCATTTCGGCGCTAACAGCTAGCATTCAACAATTCTAGCACTGCCCAACCATTTACTCATTTACAGCTGAGATGACTTGAACAAGCGGAGTAAAGTATCTTGCTCAAAGATACAACACAGTGCCGTGCCGTGACTCGAACACGCAACCCTTCGGTCACAAGCCCGGTGTCCTACCACTAGACTACATGTACCGTGTCTCCAAATTAACCTGCAATCGGGTAGCATGCAGATTTCTGACGGCTGCGCTTCACCAAGACACATTCATTCTACCAATAGAACTTAACTTAAAGTTCCAAATGTTGGGTCTATCAGAACCCACATCAAGCTTTTCTAAATCCCGAAACTTAAAAGTATGTCGTATGCTCTAAGGATAGTGCATCCATTTTGGAATAACCGTAGAAAGTCATTTGGTGTGTCCAGTGACGGTTTCATAGACAAATATTTCTTTTCATTTCTATTTGAGTTGGGTTCCAAATGGAGAAAATTACTGGTTACTGGTAACAAAACTAAAACAGTAGCATCAAAATCCTGACATACTTTGTAAAAAGTGTCGAAAAAGTTAACCGTAAAAGAAAAAGAAAGAAAACAGAGGTAAAGTAAAACATATCCTTAAACTATAAATCGTTTGAATGTATTATAGAAACTGCTAGAAACTACTGACACTTACTGTATTCTGATGAGTGTTCGTTCTTGTCTCGCTAGTCGAGTTGTTACTGATTGGAGATTAAGTTTATGGGTTTCAACACATTCTTCTATAGCTTGCATATTCTTGTTCATTTCCTGCAAGGGAGGCGACTCCCATTTTTCCAACACCTTGTTGATATCCTTCAACTCCTTCTTCTCTAGGTAGTATTTAAATCTGAATCCCTAAACAAGAAAAGGTTTTAATGAGGGTATTATTCAAAAGCATAATTGTACAACATATACATGTATATACTTTCTGCATCCTAGATTTTTTTTTATTTTTTTTACACGTGATATAAAACGTGTTTATGACATAAGAATACATTAAAACCATATAAAGCAATTTTTGTTACTGAAGATAAATTGGATGTTACACACGTTTGGCTTGCAATTTAAGTGGGGGTTGGGACATTAAACAGAATGGCAACATATTTTAATTGCATGATTTCAAGAGACGAACAATACAATCCTATTGCATAGGCCATTTCTTTCCAATTTCAAAGAAATAGTTTTGGCTTCCCGAAGGTACATCTCATTGTTGGATTTTATTTTACATACAAACCTATGTAACCTGCTTTGTCACGGACAATCGATATGCTCCTGCTGACAATGTCAGTGTCGATACAAGTGTTTTCAGACTCTGTTAGCAGGTCCGATACAACTTACCTCCAACTCCTGGAGTCGAACCCGCGCCTCCTAATACACTTAGGCGTAAACGCTCACTACGAACCACGGACAACCTTGGGAATAGTTAACCTTTCTTCGATGTCCATATTGACATCCATCGATGTATAACACATTATTTGGTGATGACGTTAACATTCAACAATCAACCAAACAAACAATTACCTGTTGGACCAGCATACTCCTAAGCTCTATCCGGGCCACGATCCAGGCCCGGTTGACCTCCAGGCCTCTTTGAGCATCCTGTTGTATGTGCTGGTACGTGTCACTTAACTGGGCAATCAGTAGGTTTAGCAATAACACCATGCATGAGAATAAGAATAGGACCATGATGAAACAGCTCCATGGACTGAAATGACAATAATGTTTCCTTATATGTAGCTGTGACGGTACTGTGAAAGTGGAAACTCTCGCAGTGTGAACATTTTCACATTGGCAGTGGTTCTGAACTCTATATATTATAAACATCTTTGAC